TGTGTCCAAACTTTTAACCAGTACTCAATATGTAAAAAAAATTTACAAAATTTAAACTGAAATGTTGTATAAATAAAAAGGTTAGGAATCGGACCTGGATACCTTAATTATAATATAAAGTTGTCACTTATACAACTTAACATTTTAATTTGTCTTACCTTAACTTTTTTAGGCTGTATCAATACTTTTTTTTCCAACAAGTTTTTTTTTTTTTTTTTACCTTATGGACATATGGACCATGTCAATGTTATTTTTGTTGAATACATTTTATACAAATAAAAAAAAATGTATTGTATGCCTGAATTTTTTTAAACTAAGCGTTGGCTATAACCAAGCCAAGCGTTTTGCGAACATCAAAAAAGAAAAACACTTTTAAACATCTACTAGTGCCTTCCCCCTTTTTAGGGGTGAGAATCGGATGCAGAAATAATAATTGACACCTCTGGTTTTAAACTACACCAAAGCATCGCTAAGTGTCACTGGCTCGCTGAGCATTCATGTTTTGCATTAAATTTTGGTGTGAATTTTTGCACTTATACTTTGAGCTCTGAGTTTCAGGTCATAGTTCATATAGATTTATAGATTTCATTTATCATATACCTCACAGGGACAGGCAATCTCTTGTCAGCTCCAGGTCAGAAGGTCAGATGTCTGAAGGTTCATGTTCATAGGAGAATAATGTTCGATACAGATATTTATCCTCTATCCTCAGGCCAGCAAGATGCCAGATAAATGCTCTAATTATTAATCATTTGCTTGTTATTCAGTGATGTTGTTTTAAGGCCCCAGTACTTTCCTCCTGCTAAGAGGAGGGAAAGTTTGCTGCATTATATTGATTGCATGACATCAATCTCACCTTTGTTTTATTTTTTTTAACCGAAATGCCTGTTTAAAATGAATTTAAATGAATTGTAGAACACATTTATACAGCTATTTTAAAGTGAAATGAGACACTAAACTGTCTCAGTTTAGTTTAACAATACAAAAGCAACATTTTGAATCCAAACAAAACTGAACAAACCACCTTTTAAAAAATATAAACTCTGGAGTTAACTAAGAAAAGTCAAAACATGCCATCATGAGCTTGTTTCCTCTCTCACAAATGCTTTCCTGCACTCACTAACATAACTTCTGCATGCTACTGAAATGCTGGATTCACTTCTCTATACCTCTTCCAAAGAAAAAAACCAAGCAGCATGGAAAAATGCCACAGGCAGGAACACAAGAAACCAAATGTTAGCCACAGCTATCGGGCCTGTACGAACATGCTTCCTCTGGCATGACAGCACAGGTGTTTCTGTTCTCTCCTCTGCTTTTTTGCGCATGTACTGCGGAAAACACAAATGCTGTGTGTTCTTAGACAGTGTCTACATATCTTTTTTCCACTTTTACCACAGCATGACCTGAGGGAACAGATGATATTTAAAATGTGATACTGTATGTAAGAAATAAATAACTGAATGCTCAAATACTATTTGCTGAAAATGAAAAGAACAATATATGTTTACTTTGCTATATGCTTTGAATCTTAGAGCAGAAATGCACGTAAGCTGCCCATATGAATGTATCTGGGGCAGTCCTCAAGCTAGCAGTAAAGAATAGAAATGTGCTCAAGAGTTTTTAAAGAGCATCTGACCACAAAAAGGTGTCAACTTATTGTTGATTTGTTTGACTGTGAAGACTGATAACGCGAGCATGTCCTACCACAAAGCATAACCAGGAAGTTGAAAAACTTCTAAACACTAAAAAGTAGGGCTGCACGATTAATCGCATGCGATATTTAACGCGCATCTTATCAGTAATCTGTAATCAGTAATCAGCGGTAAATCTCCATCACCTGCGTTCTTTCACATTGAGCAGCATTACCTACACAGAGCCGTTGTTCACTGACGAGCTGCGCTAAACCACGTTCATATTCGCGCGATTTTTTGCGCAGCTCGTCAGTGAACAACGGCTCTGTGTAGGTAATGCTGCTCAATGTGAAAACCCGCAGGTGATGGAGATTTACCTCTGATTACAGAACCGGCTTTCTGACAAGATGCGCGTTAAATATCACATGCGATTAATCGTGCAGCCCTACTAAAAAGGGTTACCTCCTTCACAATACTCCTCAGAAAGCAAGATAGCATAAGCGCACTGTTTTTAAATATTAATGTCATATACAATATATATGTCAATATACACACTCAATAATAATAGCAGAATAAAACCCACTCAAATGTTTTTTTGTTTAACCTCTTGTCTTTATACAGCTTCTACATACACTCAAAAAAATTTTTAAAGTCAACAATATAAAGCTTTTTTTGATTTGGACACTACATCAAAATGTAGGTATAAAACCTTGCTAGACATGTGAAGCTGACATGTGAAGGGCGTACTGCTTCAGTTAGTCACACATGCCTTAAGGGCATGTAAAGTGCTACTAGATAAACCCTGCAGTACAGGAACGCGCCGCTAAATCCAGAAACACAATCACAACCTAACATCTCACAGCACAAGGGATGTCACAACGTAGCTGTTTGCACAGAGCAGATGCTATTGATCAGCATCTTATAGTGATTAGAGCTGTGCAGGTGTTTTTGCTGCAATACTGCTCTTTACAAAGTACCATCTGGAAAAAACAACCTACTAAAGTTATAATGTATTTGTGTCCATCAGTATACTGGCTTTTACCTAATAATGACCATAGTTACAATGAACAGGTTTTGTGATCTGTTCCCCTTTTACATAACATATAATATATGGTAAGTTTAAATATTCACTTAATACATGTAAAACATCATGCTGATATATGTAATGTCAGTTATAATAAGGTCTTATAAACTATGACAAATTTAGTAATATCCGCCATAACCTAGTCTGCAGAGTCGACATCTGCACACGTCTTGGTGTTTTAATGCTGACCACTGGTCTGGAGGTTATAATGAAGGCTGCTGGGTCAATATTTATAGTTCATGCTTTAATTCAAACCTGTGGCCTTGCACATCACAGACAGTTCTGCAATCCATCAAACAAACAATAAAGGTATTTGCTTGCATCCAGAATGTAGTTTATGCAGGCTGTGGTTTTCTATATTGTTACACTCTAAAAAATGCTGGGTTAAATACAACCCAGTGCTGGGTAAAATAGGGACAAACCCAGCAATTGGGCTGTTTTGACCCAGCGGTTGGGTTAAATGTTTAACCCAACCTTCTGGGTAGTAACCCAACCAC